CTTCTCCAGGCTAAACAACCCCAGTTCCCTCAGCCGCTCCTCATCAGACTTGTTCTCCAGACCCCTCACCAGCCTCGTTGCCCTTCTCTGGACACGCTCCAGCACCTCGACGTCCTTCTTGGAGTGAGGGGCCCAAAACTGAACACAGTGTTCGAGGTGCGGCCTCACCAGGGCCGAGTACAGGGGCACGATCACTTCCCTACTCCTGCTGGCCACACCATTTCTGATACAGGCCAGGATGCCCTTGGCCTTCTTGGCCGCCTGGGCACACTGCCGGCTCATGTTCAGCCGGCTGTTGACCAGCACCCCCAGGTCCTTTTCCGACAGGCAGCTTTCCAGCCACTTGCAACACTTCACCTTACCACGCTGCCTTTGCATCGACGTGCATGTTGTCCCGGTCAGAGTTTACAGTGGAGATGCACAAAGAGGTGTGGGAGGTGATGCCTGAGACTGCTGCAGGGAACGTCTAACTGTAGCCTTCGATTAAAGCAGACTCCTGTCCCTGGAGATCCTGGTAGCCACGACGTTTCTCAGATACACTGGTCTGACTTCTGATTAGAAGTAGAGAGCAGACATCTCTTGCATGGATGGGTGGAGGAGACACAGGGGGAGCCATTCCCATCCCTTGTGAGCAGGGAAGGGGTCAGAGCATCCTCTTCTCCCCCCCTACATGGGACCTGAGGCACTGAGCACTGTGGTATCGTCTCGCTGGTGCTTGGTGGACTGAACTGTCCTCTCTGGCTGACGCACCTCAGTCTGTGGCTGAAACGCTGCTAGTGATACCAGAGAGCTAGCACGATATACTGTTTCCAAGTGATGAGTGCATTGGCCAAAGAGAGAGGTGCCCAGCACCCATCAGGACTGGCCCATTGGTTTCATGTGAATAAACTATTGCCATGTCAGCAGTAGGCATCTGGTGTAGGTTCCCTTTCTAGTCACTGGAGAGAGATGGACATTTCTGGGGGATAATTCATTGCACCTAACTTCACACCTATTCTAGGATGGGATAAATAATTTTCTGGCAGTGCCTCCCTCTCTCAGCATCTGACCTGTCTTTATCAGCTTGTGAGATACTGAGTCCTGCCAACTGCCCCAACAGTTTAAAGATCCCTTGCTGGATCTGCTTCATCTTTATGCCGTAAATGAAGGGGTTGAGCATGGGAGGGACCGTCAAATAGAAATCAGCCATCAGTGAGGTGCCAATCTGAAAGAGAACATCTGCAGGTACATGGAGAGTAGGCCACCTATGTAAAACAGCAGGATGATGGAAACATGGGACCTGCAGGTCCTGAGGGCCTTGAGACGTGCCTCTTGGGATGGCAGCCTCATCACAGACCTGAGGATCATACCATAGGAGAAGGTGATGAAGACAGAGTCTGTCCCCACCAATAGTGTTGCCACGATGAGGCTGTAGAGATCGCTGACAGACAGGTCGGCGCAGGCCAGCTCCACCACAGCCATGTGCTCGCAGTAGGAATGAAGGATGAGTCTGGTTTTGCAGTAGGGTAAGCTGGTGAGGAGGCACATTAAAGGTGTCATGACACCAGCTCCCCTGGCCAGAGATGGCAGTCCTATCTGGATGGTCCTTGAGCTCGTTAAGATGGCGTTGTATCTCAGGGGGTTGCAGATGGCTACATACCGGTCAAAGGACATTGCCAGGAGCATCCCTGACTCCACTGCAGTGAATGTGTGGATGAAGAACATCTGGATGAAGCAGGCTTCAAAACCAATCTCCCTTGAATCCAACCAGAATACACCCAGTATTTTGGGAACTACAGCAGTTGAGAAGATGACGTCGATGACAGCCAACATAGAAATGAGATAGTACATAGGCTCATGGAGGCTTTTGTCCAGCCTCACAGCAAGAAGGACCATGCTATTTCCCAGCAAGGTCATGATGTATGTAAAGCAGAATGGGATGGAAATGCACACGTGGAGAGCTTCCAGGCCAGGGATGCCCGTTGGGAGAAAAGGCAAAGAGTTGGTGTTGGATTGGTTGGTGGTTGACATGTCACAGGTGGGCCAAGCCACATCTTTGTGCCCGACTTTAGTTCCCTGTAACAGTGACAGGAAGGTTGGGATTTGGCTGCCATCTGTTTGATCACAAAACTGGGCATACAGCAGTTTTTCAAGCATCACACAATTTTGCTGTATTTATTTGGGGAAAAACTTTCAGAACCTGTTATCTACAGTCAGGCTTTTAAACTGATGCTGTGCTCAGTGCTTTCCAGAGGACACATCACTGGAGAGTCCTGGCTGTCCTACTGCTTGCATGGGGCCACCTTCCCTTCTGCTTCTTCCTCCAGCCCCTCTGATTTACCTCTAGCTTTTGCCATATGCATGTCTGTCTAAAGGCTGGCACCATGGTGTCCTTGCATGGTGGCTTCCAGCCACTATTGCCACTATCAGTGGGCAGAAGTGAGGCATAATGACCCCGGGCTCTTTGGCCCTTGCCCAGCCTTCATGAGCAGTGCAATGGCAGGGCTTAAGGACTTGCTGCAAGGGCTTGCAAGCAAGTCCTCCCTCCCTACGCCCTGCTCAGAGAGAGGACTGGGCATATGGGTCCAGGTCACACAAGTTCCATCCTGTTGCTACTTTGGGTCATGCAGGAGCTGCACCTAGACAACACGTCCATGGTGAAACTGGGCTGAGAGAAACTGGAGCCAGAAAAATGATGCTCCAAGCTGTCACCCGACAGTAAGGGGGGACAAGCATCACTGACAGCCTCTAGCTGCTAGCTGCAGTCAAGGAGGGTACAATTAAAATGATACTACCCCTCCTCCACACTCATCCATCCATGAGACTGAAGGCCAAACTAATGCAGAATGCTGTCCTGTCAAAAACAGTGGAGTTACACCCATTTTTTCCTCTCTGGAGCCCAATAACATGGGATTTGCTAAAGCATGCTTTCCTGGAAGAAATCACACTAGTGTAGGCTTGTGGGCATCCAGAGATGGAGAACCTCCATCCCTTGATTTTTGCCTCAAGTGCTAATCATCCTCAAGTTATAACCACGTGCTTTTCTTCCCATTTGACATTGCCTGTCTACTCCTCCCAGCCACAGCATCCTTCTCTACCTTGCTATGCTTGGCCAGAGAGCCCTTTATGGCAGAGTACCTTCATTGCGTGAAGGTATGTACTTCCCATGACCAAAGAGTTATTCTTGATAAACTAAAGACCTAGAGCACTGCAAGTTTCTCATCCCCACTCACCTGTTCCACTATCTGTCTTATTTAGAGGTTTTTTTTGCATATCTCCAAGATTTCAACATCTTTTTCAAAAAAATACAAAATCATAGAAGGTTGGAAAAGACCTCTAAGATCATCGAGTGCAACCGTCGACCCAACACCACCATGTCCACTAAACCATGTCCCTAAGCGCCG